TATATATATCTTTTTTTTTGTTTTTATTACGTGGATTTTAATGTTTTTTGTGCTTGAGGCAACATCGTATCGTATTGTTTTCATTGTATTATTGGATGTTCAAATACATTCTAAAAATTAATTAACTGTACTTGCATAAAGTAAAAGGAAAAATCAACACAAAGTTGACCCTCAGTATCTCTGCTGTCGAGAAACAGACAGTCGGAATTTGTATCGTTTCGATAATTTTTATTTCACGTGAAGGTAAGATATTATTTACCCTGTAAATATAATCTTAGAAAACGTCGAGCAACGTATGACCCACCACATATGGGGTTGCATTGTCATCTGAAGACCGAACTGTGTCAAAAAAGTGGGCAAAGGCTGCTTCTAAAAGGAACTGTTAAGATGCAATCAAAAATAAAGAGATTTGTGCCATTAATAACGCGCAATTATTCAAGGTTCAAAGCTGCAGACAATATCTCTTTAGAACAAAGCGTAACTGCCTGAGTTCGAGTTGAGAGCGCGAGTTGATTATCGTGTAAGGCGCATAAAAAAGTGGCTTGCTATTAACGACTGAATTTATCACCGAATTTTTTTTAAGTCGTCCAGAATTTCCAAAATTTCGTTGTAGGGATATCAGAGGACCACGTGTCGTGCAAATAAACTGATGTCACGGTCACAATTTGATAATATTTCTTCGTAATAGTTTTCACCATTTTAGCATTTGTGTTGAACCGCTCGATGAAATTCTAACATTATGTAAGCATAGTTTCCGTTATTAGTATGATAGCAAATAGATGAACAAAATAAGTTATTTATACAATGCCCCTGTTTCTCATTCTAAGTTCAACGCTCCCCACATAGCGCTCATAATCTACAATTTGACGATTGTATCTCAATAGGAATAAAATGCAATAAATAATTAATCTTAGAATTATGTATTGCTACGGAAAATTAAGCTGGACGCGGCATTAAAGGGGAAACAGCGGACAACAGCGAGAATTTTGTAAATCAATTGAGCTCATCTACGAATCTTCAAAGATTTTTTTTTAAAATTGAACAGTTTTGACATGGTTAGCCCTAAGTACATCTATTCCCTGTACACGTTGCCTAAAACTGTTTCGATGAGGCGTTTGATGGTCTTTTTTGTTATCGTTGTGTTTACCAGACGTCTCGATTTGAAGCTAAGAAGCTTATAAGAAGTTGAATTCCGACAATTAAGCGCGTATTTTAATGTAAAGCGTAAAGAGTCAATCTAACAGTACCAGTTAGATTAGAGATTTTTTCTGGAGCACGTCCAGAATAAGTGGATGTAAATCTTAATTTTTTAATATGATTCATAAAAATGTACTTCAACTAAATAAGCCCTTAATTGTTTATAATATGCAATAGTTGTTGTTCGACTATTATATGTCTTATGTTAAACAACGTCAATGTAAAAAAACCTGCAAATACGTGTTATGGTTATGTCCAGAAGTGGCACGGGACCGGTCTTTTCACTAAATATTCGGACGAGCGTTTGCGCGATTCGATTTACTGGAATTTAACTGACTACCTGAGTTCTTACGAAAGCGTCACAAGCGAACTGTTTGAGTACTGCTTGTATAGAGGTGAAAGGTTAATTATAATTATATAGTAGAAGTTACGTCGAACAGCAATCAGCTATGCCTCAATAAGTTCTGCCAGAATACGGTCTAAGCGTAGTTTGTCACGTGATACATGTTAGACACACTTGTTCACGCAACACAGTTATCATATTGGTATATCTATTGGCTGGCTTTGAGCGTGTAAACGTTCATGGAGCGTTCGAGACCGAAATTATTCTCAATAGGATCAATCAAATTAACATTGTACCCTATGGCAAGGAGAGAACTTTTCCCTCTAAAAAGAACACTTTCAAAGCTTCAGCAGCCCATAAAAAAGTTACGATTCGATCACTTTGAAGGCCGTTTAGGATCCGAAAAATAGACAGAAAAACGGACACAGGCTTTATCTACGAGGCATAGACTGGGTCAATTTAATTCACCTTAGTTAACTGTGTTCTGTTAAATTTTCCCGACAATGGCCAACAATAATATAACTGTTATTAGCAGCTTACTGTCCTCTGAATTCATATAAAGTAACTTTAACACAAATCTTAATGTTGGCAATGGCGCATGGCACAACTAACGTTGTATTAACGTTAAGATATACACAAACGAGCTTCGTCACGTTCTACTGTTTCCTCGTTAGATAATTCTAGGGAAACAGCGCAATTACTAAAATGTCGTACACATCGGCCTACACAAATTTTCCCATTAAGATGTTAGTCTCAGTGTTACAGTAGACTGACGCAAGTAAGAAGGGAAGCAGCAAGGTTAGGTATCTTCACCGTTTTTTTAGTCATAATCATGTTCACTTTTACTTTGTTACGTAAGTAATCGTTACGTTGAAAGTCAGTGCTGTGTTTTTTAATTTTTACTCTGTAGCATTCAAAGATCAAAAAAGCGATGCCAAGTACAAGGGGCTATGTACTGGATTGAAATGATTTTCACCGTTTGAACCTCATAGTTGAGCGAAGACGTCAGGCGCCTGAAAATCGAAATAATGAATTCAGCAGGTCAATGCTTCAGTAGGGCGCAACAATAACGCGAGTAATAATATTCCCCATAGAAGCTCACTGGTAACGTACCCAGCTAAAAAAATTTGGGGACTGATGAGATAGTCCAGCTGGGTTTTGATACATTTTTTCGTATTAGGAGCTACCTGTCTGAAGCAATAATTGACTAGAAATACTGGACGTAAATTCGAAACGTTCATTCTGTAGCATGAACAATATCTTTTTCTTTTGTTTAAAATAGTTCCTAATATGAAATTCGAAATGTCCGAATGAAAAATGCACTTCAGCGGTAGCAAGCTTTTTATTTAATTGGTGAGTTCGGTACGGTCATGGTAGGCGAAATTTCTAACACAGTAAACGGACGTCATTCCCCGCTTGTTATCAAAATTTATTTATTATTATCATATAAACTACCAGATAATTGGAGATTCCCAGGGACTTATCTGTACTGACTCAACTCTCAACCAATTAGCGTCTACTTTAGATCCTACCTAAATCGTTGTTTAGTACATCGAGATTATTTACAATTTCCAGGCCACTCTACTTTCTTTCGCCTTGTCGCTGGACTCAGAGTGTGGCAAACCAGCTATCAAATTCGAGACGTTATCAGATTCTACTGGTAGAGAGTACATGGTTCTCTATCCGTAGCCGTGGCACGTTAATTCTCTGAATTTGATTCTTTACAAGAATCAAAATGTGATAGTTGAATATTTCTGTTCAGGCGCGCTCACTAACTCCCCGATGGTTGTCACAGCGGCTTACTCTATGGCCTACTCAATAGACGAAATTAACGCCCAGGTAGGAGACCATCTTCAATATGCGTAGTGAAAAGTTCGCCAAAGTCAGCATTGACTGTCTCTTACTCTCCTAGTCATTTACAAAAGACGTTCAAAATGAACCGATTGTTCTGTGGATAACTAGATCAGTTTAATTCACCAGCGCCATCACCCCGAAACTCGACCAGCAAAGGACGGTTCTGAGTAATGATGACTTTTTGTGACCAAGTAGGGCCTAATTTGGCTTCTTGTTGGAGCGTATCCCAGCCCCTTCACAGATCCGGTAAAAGGACATCTCATAAGAGGAATATCTGGCGCTAAACATCTTACAGCGCCTTGACAAGGTAGTTGGCACGAAGCACGATTTAAGCTCGACATACCGCGCTAATTCACGCAATTCGCTGGTTCTGGCTTGTAAGAATTCCTGGCAACGGCGGAGAGTTCTTTCTGGTGGCCCATCAGTATGTGGTGACTTCGCGGGATCTGCGTACTGCACTGCAATTTCCAAATACCCTAGCTGGATCCGAGATGTCCAGACAAGCAATGACCCAGCAAAACTAAAAGGTAAAATGTCCTGCGGACCTGTGTAAAAGCTGGAACAAAACAACATTGCAGTTTTGACCACACCAAATTGTAACTAATAGCCATTTTTCCCTACCTTATATTCGAATCTAGCAGTGCGTTCAGATGTACTGACGGAGGAGCGATTTCTAGCAGCAAATTTTACTGAAGAATGAGCTCTCCAGTTAGGTGTGTATCCAATCAATCCGCTGCGTCCAATGGTTTTGTTGCAAAAATTAGCGCAAAATTCGGATAGTGAGGAGTGTACAACTTGAAGATCTTAAATGTCTATTATCAGCTCTTGAAGAATAAATGATAATTTCTTCATTTGTTCAGTATAATGGTTAAAAGGTCCACTTTCAGATCGTTCATAATCATTACTCTCGTGCGTTGTAACGATATCATTTATCTACGATTTTATTAATGGCGTTCTGTTGTGTGTCGCATTACGGTACCACATTGATTTGTCGCAATTTATTTTTTCCAACGTTACTATGGCACAAAGACAAACTAAAACAATTAGGTATTTTTCTATGACGCAAGTTCATTTTCAATAAGTGCTTGTTTTGATAGTAATGTTGATCATAGAATAAAGTAAAAGCGAAAAGTTATCATCAAGTTCCAACTATATTAGTGTTTATCGGTTTCAAATAAAACTCAGTTCTCTCTAAAATGTTTATTTTATAATGGGCCTTATTTTTTCGCCCTTATCCTTAGTGTCACACATGATTAACCAAATCTGCAGTTACAGAAACAGGCTAGGGAACAAATTCAAGAGCTATTATATTCGAGAGTAGGAATAAGTCGTCCTATTTTATACGACCTATACGGTCCTTATTGAGCGGATCTATGGCGACGTTTACTGCTCCGCATATGCAATATCATTAGTAATGACTATGCGTTAATAGTTCAGTGCCAACTGACAAGATGGCCAATGGATCTGCCGGGATGTGCTAGAACCGGCTAGCACACTTTACCAACTTTCAATTCACAAGTACAAAAGAAGTGTATGTGATATAGTGTCGACGTATGGGAACAATGAAAACATATTATATAACATCACACGGAGCGGCATGATATTCCGTGACGTATCCTTTTCCTTATCCAAAACGAAGGGTACATCATACCGCTGTTTGTTTCTCTACGATTTAGAAACTTCGGTGACGTTGGATCGAATATTAATCGTAACTTAGTGGGCAGTGTATTTGCCTGTTAATCTTAGAGAAGCGTTGTGGTGTAGGTTCGAATGGGTATGGGCATATTTCGTTTCGTGGTGGCGGCGGGATGGACGGAGTGCCCAACGACGATACCGGACTGTTTTTGGAAGCAGCCAACAACGGAGCGAGCATGCTTGTCACACTGATTGCAAAGTGCTGTAAACAACACCATGTCAATCCTGTATTTTTGCAGTATTAAAAGGTCACATACCGAACCTAGCTAAGAGGATCATCCAACAAGAAGAACCCTTTTTGCGATGTCTTTTAATCCTAGTAATATTCGTGGAACGCACAGTGACGGCCATGGTTTCTCACTAAAAGAAAATCGAGTGCCGATTAACGCTGACCCTATAGTGACTTCAGTCAATCGACTTTCAAGAATAGTTAAGCCGTCGTATTTAAGCATAAACTATACTACGACAGTTCTAGCGCTGTTTCGTACGCCACACTTCACCATTAGATGTGCCATAAGCAATGAAGCTTATATGATCATTTCGTATAAAGGATTGCTCATTGTAGATACGCGTCTGAAATCGTTGTTTCTTAGATAACTCAGCTCAAAAGTCTAAGTTGTACGTTTGATTCGATCCGGTATCGAATGGTATGGATTATTTCGTACGCTATCGGTTATGTGTCAAAGTAAGAAAAAGCGGTTTGGAAAAACTCATAGCAAGAAGCTAACCCGACTATATGATCTAAAGCTACTAAACAATATTTGAGAAATCAAAAAAATTACCATTCAAACATAAAGGGCTGCGGTTAATGGCACGAGACGTTCCATATCTAAACGCGGTCAAACAAAGATACGCTGACGTTTTGTGCTTAATCGCCGTCGCAAGAAACTCATCCACGACTTTAAGCGAAATTTTTGGCCGGGGGCGGGATCATTTCATTGCAACGAATGGCCAGCGTCGCTTCTATAAATTAACCCCAAAGGCTAATCGGCGATTCGAAGTAAGCCTAATTCTCGTCGCAGACCTTAGGGACTATTTTAAAGGGATATTCACTGTCAATACTCACTCGGTTCAGGCAGCTTACGTTGTTTGCGTCCGGATAAAAGATCGTTATTAAGAGCTTTATCGAAAGTGGTAAAATAAACGCAAGGGTATTTAGGTTAAGCTTATATGATGTATAAGAGAAGGCGTTTGCGTTAGACAGAAGTTCCTATATGCATGTAACTTGCGCTGTCCAGTTCTGAATAATAATCCGCGATGTTTGCTATAAAGATGCAGAGAAATTTTACTTGATGAAATCGCGTTGCAAATAACAGCATGAGTTATGAATTATTTGCCAATGCGTTTGTATCGCAATACGAGATCTTCCTGAATATTGTTAGTTTGTTCTAGGACAGACAGCAAGGCTTCTGCGTGCCGACATCTACCCTGACGGCCGTAGAGCTGCTTCCAGACTCGTAAGAGGGTTCAGCAATCTTGGATAATGGGTTATCGAAACCTAAGCCACTACCTGGACTCTCGGAATACCTATAGAAGGAAATAATCCTATGTCACTTCTTTTTCTCGTGTCTTTTTGGCTTTCTGTTGACTTCCTATCCTCAATAAAATAAGTGGATCAACTCTCTGCTGTAGGCCCACAATCTCAAGCTCTGCACGACAGGTGAGATCTGCCAATAACAGATATTCAGAGCTGTGTGAGCAGGCATTGCCTACTTGTCAACACAATAATATAAAGAGAAATTTTGCGCCAGCGTAGCTTTTAATGAATACGAATCTCTTAGTTTTACGTACATTTAGAGCTATCGGTAGTCTAACTTATTATTGGCACGTTTACGAAAGAGTTTGGAATGTTTTTTTTTTTTAGCTTTTTTTGAGATGTATCACAAACTGCTCTGTAAGAAGTTCTCGATTTCTTGGTGCGACCTCCAAGATTGCTTTCACGACAGCAATATTACCTATACAATAGCGATATTGGCAGTTTCTGACGAAGAACGAGTCATGTCGACTGTTTCTGATATTGTAGGCTGCTGTATCAACTTGAGCGTGAGACGCCATATGTGAGTCAATAATGCTTGATTCTCTGAGTCGATAATGGGCCGTCATATACATCATTGTATGGCGCAATACAAGAAAAAATATGTTTAAAGATCAGTATCTAGTTTCTCCAATCGTTCGAGACATTCTCGTCATTTCTAGGTAGACACCATCAGCAAATATGTCTAACATAAATTCTATTTTGTTTACCGTACTGAAAAATAAAATTAGAAGTATGCTTTGACTAGCGGTAGCCCATCTATCACTAAGTCTCATAGAGAAACAGCGTCAGTATATGAAACAGTCGCCTGACGCTACCCGCGTTTCTACGAAGTAGAACAGATATACCTGGTTACTGATAAGAATATGTTTAGCATTCAGAAAGTATGAATCACAAAATAAGTTCTTATAAATTTTTTTAAAATTATTTTTCTCTTGTTTGCTCCGTCGTTTGATGCTTATCGCTCAATACGATCTAATTATTGAGGGCGGTCAAGGCCGATGAATTGGCGTCAACGGGCTATTGCTTAGCGGGATCACCTGACGCTAAATCCTTATTAATTCCTGCAGCTTTGTTTTGAAACGCTTAATCAAACAAGATGGCTTATAAAATGCTGGCTGACCATTAATACGCCTACTCTTAGATCAGATGTCGAGAAAAAGACGGACTTCTGCCATTATGAGGTTACTGTTGTCAGCAATTATTGCCCTCCTTGCAGCGGCTGTTATTCTGCCTGTTACTGCAGCAAGAAATTGCGGCGTTCCGAACATTGAGCCGGAGCTTACCGATATGAACATTATCGGCGGCCGGATAGCGCGACCAGGTTCCTGGCCGTGGCACGTTGGACTTTACCGGAAGCGATACCTTCATACTACACGATGGAACGATAGCAGTCAGTTTTGTGCTGGTGCGTTAATCGATCAGAACACAGTTGTAACTAGCGCCCATTGCTTAATCTACCCTGCAGAAACAATACAGGTCCACCTTGGTGCTCATCTGCGCCTGACAAGAGACAAAGGTGAAGAGATTATTGACGTGCAACACTACTGCTCGTATCCGACGTTCAACGGCGGGAACGTTGACGACATTGGCATCATTAAACTGAAGAGGCCCGTCACCTACACCAAAACGATTAGCCAAATCTGTCTGCCCGACAAAAACGATGAGATACGCATTAGCGAAGACGAGGTCTACGTCACGGGCTGGGGCCACACGTCGGGATACCTGAGTCGTCAGCAGTCCAACGAACTTAAACAAGTGAAGCAACATATTATCACAAAGGAGGAATGCCGAACCATGCGTTCCATGAATGTGGATAAAGTGATCTGTTCGAAGCATGATTTAGGATCGACGTGCACTGGAGATTCGGGTGGACCTGTCGTCTTGGAACGTAACGGCCATTGGCAGCTGCAAGGTGTGGTGTCTGGCGGACCTCCAATATGTGGCACGCCTGATTGGCCCATGTACCACACCGAATTAGCCAAGTACAGGGATTATATCGATAGGTACAGAGCAGCTCGAGATCCTGTCAACACTCCAGGACTTTGCAAATCTTAAGTGAAACTGAGCTTCATCGTAGAACCTCTCGATTCGATATTTGTCGCTAAATATAAGGGTATATATATGCGGATCTAAAAATTGATGTTTAGCTATGGGATAGCTATGAGATTCTTGCTGTTCTTACAAATACTCTCTGCCGCTCATGTAAAAGGCGTACATAGTGGTTGTTCGAGTTCACTTGGATTAAAAATCTATCCCATGCATAAATAGACGAATAGAAACGATGTACCAGTAAAAATATAAAAAGTGCTTTAATTTCATTCAAGGTATATTAAACATCTACAAAAAAAAACTGCTACGACGTCAGTTCTACTGTCTCATTTTAAATGTCTAAAGGGTACTTTATAACCAACGTGGCGATATATATTCTTATTTAGCAGAAAGTGTTACTTGCCATTGCCTGATCTGGTCCGATTAAACATATGGTTTACATGTACATATGGAGCAGTGTTCCCAAAAATACACTTCCGGGCCCCTGTTATGACACTTGCCTTTAAATAGAAATATGTTCTGTACTTTTCCCAGTAGCTAAAGGCACATCGCACTCTGTACCCGACTAATCCACTGTTGAAGCGTTTTCCATCAGTAGCTTTTATACTGAGACCCAAATAGTAGGCTTAATTAATTCGGGCAGTAACATAATAACTGGCATAAGGGACCAGTACGGTATAACACGAGTGAACACCTCTGTTATCTGAGTTATCTGGACGTGGATATTTCCCAAGGGAAGGCTGGCCTCCAAACCTGATCCCTTATAGATAAGTACGCTTTTATTCTTGCTCGTAATAGCTGCTAATAGTCTTATTTACAAAAACGTTAACTTATTTTTGCCTGCGTGTCGTCATTGGCATTGTACGTTCATTGATGCCTTTTTGAGGGTCGTCGAAGGTAGCCTTCAAAAGCCTTTGTTATCTTACATCGCTACAGCATGCGCGCATTTTGATACTTACGCTGATAATCTGCTGAGTGTAAAGTAGTCGCCAAACCTGCGTCAATTCGCTGTCACCTGAAACACACTTGTTAACATTACGGACCCCTTTTAAAAAAGGGGTTAAATTAGAAAAAGGGTTTATCGCACATGCGGACAATATGATTTCTCAACTCCCGTAAATGAAATCGAATGTAAATAAAATGTTTAACATAAGATTTTTAAATCTAGCGATGACGGCGGCAGCGGACACTCAGACAAATGTTATCCTAACCTTTGGGTCTTGCCCCATGGGATACCTGCCAAACAGACGGTTCAAGTTGTACTTGAAAGAGTGTAAATTTTTTTTACATTACACATGTTGAAACATGTGTCCCGCATTTGAGTAATAACACTAATTTTGGCGTGTAATATACCAGTGCATAGTTTGATATTAGATGCCCGTATTGAAAGTTTTAACGAGTCTTTATAAAGTTTTGCCAAGCATTTTAGATTAGGAATCTCAAAGAAAGATTTCTACTCCCAAACACTGAGTTTACCTTCAAACAGCCATCATACATCTATTCTCTTTTTCAGGTTAGGATCAATAAAAGCTATACCTGCGTGTAATTTGCACCTTCTTTCAAGTTTTTCTTTCCTCTATTGGTGTTCAGTTAATATTTATGTATAGTACCAAATATGTCGTAAAGGATTTTTTGGGGTGCGTTTTTCATTTACGGGATACACGAGGTTCACACACGACCACATCGATTCGCGCGTACTCCGTGAGATCGAAACTATAGTCTTCACAGTGGATCCTCGCGATTTTAATTGTGCTTATAATAAATTTGTCAGCGAATCTTTATGAACTTTTAACCCTACCTAAAGCATATCAGCCTTCCAGAATTTCGTCCATTTTTGGCTACTAAGTAATAGCAGTTTCAATAGTACGAAAAAGTATCACATACTTTACTTCGGAATTATACAATGATTAATCAACTGTAATAACCAAGTTACCTTGATAGTTAAAATCGAACGTGTTTGCTAAAACTAGATAATAAGCTACGCAAAGGACGATTTGTTGTAGCTTTATTAACCAAGTATAAGACGTTATAGAGATATAATCGTGGTGGGTGCAAACTACGCTAGACTTGTCCTTCGGTTTTCAGGTGCTGTTGCTATGGTTAAGTCGGATTATCACTTCAAAAGGCTGAAGGCCTTCGATAACACGAAATGAAGTATATTTACAAAGTGAGTCTCGCACGTGGGCTACCTCATCTCAGTTTGTTGGAGAGCTACCTTGTTGCAGCCCCACTTGTGCGGAAAGATGGTCCGTGAATAGAATCCTGTGGTCCTGGTATCATTACTAAATTGTGTATTATCTTTTATTACTATATGATAAAATACATGCACGGATCAGTATAGCACTTTTTTTTATTACTTACTGATTAATAAACGTTTGACTGAAACTTAACAGCTCGTAGAATCTGACGTTAAATGGGAAATTGCCGTCTGCATCGTAATACACGCAAAGCTCATCAATGCAATATATTTGCGTAGAACGATTCGATAACACTGAGCACCGGAAAGTTTTCATTCATCAGACTTCAATGTTATTTAGGTGTTTCTTTGCAAAATTAATATGCCTCGTAAGCGAAACTTAATTCTACATATATCCCAAATGTGTCCACGCATTAACGGTAGTGTAACGGCCAGGTCAATAATTTGGCATCTGACTTTTGTTGAAACGGGATGCAAGACGTAATATAGTTTGGTAAAGAAGATTCAGTTATTGTTGTTATAGTACGGGACTACACTCAGAAATAAATGAGTCCTTTGAGTATTTTCGCTATAACAATTGTCTCCGCAAAAATACCAGGGCTTCTGTTATAGACAGATGAAATTTCATAACAATCCGATGCAATCTCGCTTCTTCCGGCGAAATTTGTATTAAGCGTCATGCAATTTTTTTCAAACAGAGTAACAAACGTGCATCAGGTTTTGTCTTAAAAATAAAAGCAACCGTACGCCCGCTCTGCAGATGTTGCTGAGTGCTCACTGAAGCCAGACTCTAAGAAAAGTTTAGGTGAGCCAGTGGCTCGAGCATTTCGAAGATGTGCAGAAGTCCACCGAAGACGATCCTCATTCCGAAGTCTTTGTGATAGCGATTCCGGACGAGAATGTGAAAGGAATGAAATAACTCGTGTTTGGTGACCGCTGAATCATTCATTATAAGGTAACTGGTAAAAAAAGATGCCTTATATTCAGCGCATTTTGACCGCCCGGCACGTTTTCGATGGAGAGAATGAGACGCCATTTTCTGAGCATCGGTTCAAAAACAAACCGCAATAGGAGAAAGTCACACGATGCAGACCCTCAACCAAGGTGCTCCTCACGGTTTTGTTCGATCATTGAAGAATCGTTCTATGGTCGCCGAGCAGTGAGTTCGATGAGCTGCACAAGTCTGTCTGACGCAAGCGACTAGAACTGTCGCACAACAAATCATAGGTAAAGACCGATACATTATTAATAAGCACAATGAATTCTATTTCACATAGAAGTGATTCTAACATTCAGATTCGACGCATCTCGCGTGTGACCCTTAGTGGACGATACTTACGGCTCAATCCTGTTTTCAGTCTATTTTAGCATCATTTATCCATGTTACGCTTCCACATAGCACTAAGTAACGCGTTCCCTATTGGCCGATACCCGATGCTGAAGTATTAGCTGTTACCTGCATTTCATGTAGCGTCTAGGCATCCTACATGGCCAGAAGGATAACGGACCGCCAGCCAAGGGGTAAACAGTACTAACAGCGAGCTGACATAGCGTTTGTAGTTCATACGGAACCTACAAGGCTCACTAGCATCACTGGGGCCGCGCAGTTCTCGTCTTTCCCGACGCTACCTAAGCCGTAAGCGGTCCCCTGCAACTACCCCTATTTCAGATAAAAGTGTGCTTCCTTTCAAGGCTTTCCGACCTATCCTGACCAATTAGAGGCAAGGAAATCTAGTTGGGTTCTATCGAGACTCGAGCGAAAGCTGAATAGCAATTGTGTTAGACGGGGTAATAAACGACTCTCGTGGGGGTCGTATAGCGGCGCTCGTCCTGGCTCGTCCTGGCGGACCGAATCAGGCCAACTGCCACTACTACAGTTTCCTTCAAGTGGTCTACCACAATTTTGCCTCAGCTTCCTACTGTCCCGACGAACGGGACACAAAGTCAGCGGCATGAGCCCGTTCGGATGGGCAAACTGCTCGTTTATTTACTTCGGGGGCACATGACGGCTTCCTCGCATGTGTTTACAAGGAACTGTTGCTTCTGTTGAATTTAGTTAAGTACATAATTAGTTTAAGTTTCTTTTTAATAAGATATCCTGGCAGTGGAACCTATCAATACAATCCTTCTACAATACAAAGCTTCTATGATTTAGAGCTAGTGGTCAGAGATAGGTATTTGACGTTTCTCGTATTATGCATAAAAGCAATCTCACTTTTAGATGAACTTATTATATGTCTTATCTTTAACTCATCCTTTTAATCTCATCTTATAATTGTGTGTAAGAAGAATCTTCTGCGCTTACAGAAACACAACGAGTATACATTTCTAAATAGCTTCGTGTGCACTTAAGCTTTATTGTATTGCACTAAATATTTGACCAGCTCCTAGTTCACCAAGATACTCGCTATTTCGGTTAACAAGATCTGAAATATATCTTACGATAATCGTGCTTTTTGAATTATAGAGAATGGTGTGTCGCATTTTGTAAATAGGTGTATATAGAATAAATGTTTATGTATAATAATAAATTTAGAATTGACATAAGCCTCTAATCTAAATTCTTTTTTAGTCCGCAGGATTGTCTTTCATTGGACTGCAGTTACGATTAACATCTTTACATTGCTCTCCATTGTCATTACCGAATACAGACTCGGTAACAGTGACATCGAATTGAAGGACGATTGCCACAAGCGTCACTATGTTAACGACGGCACCAGCGAGTGTCGGAAGCTCATGCGTAGCGCTATCAATGATGCGAAGAGCGTCCCATTCCTGGCGAAATGCCAGTACCTGGCGAATTTCGTCTGCTAAACGGTTTTCTGCCCTGATTCGAAACTGCGTCCCAAGACAGAGTGAGATAATTCCTGAGCCTAACTGAGCTATAAACACTGCCAGCGACATTGCAGCCATACACTCGATTAATCGCGGAGCAACACTCCAGAGAGCATCGGGTGTTCGGTGCGCGACGATGATGAGTTCACCAGCTAAACACGAGAGATTCACAGCCGTCGATGCATAGAACACCAACAGTTGTGCCCCAAATGAGCGATTCAACCATCGGGTACTATCTCGTACACGAGCCTTCATTTCGATAAGCCGCCAACAGCGATAAGCCGTCGTGTATCGGCCACTACCAACGGTCGACCAAGACTCCGCCGACGTTGCGACCCGCGTTACGGGAATGTCGTCGAAATCGCCGTTAACTTTTTGATCAAGTTTGGCGAGCGAGACGAGCAACACCCTACTCTTTTCGAGATACAGTTCCATAATTGTATAACTGCTGAAACGAAGGTATAGACGACAGATACGGAGAGCGAGTTGTTCTCGACCTGCTATCTCTTCAAAAGCCAGACTTGTCAGGGCTGATAGGAGGAGCGTAATCTTGAAAGTGGTATGACTTTTCGGAAAGGCTATGCGCGAAGAAAGAGCTGCCGGCGGTGGAGGTCGCATGCAAGCTTCAACGAGTGAGATCGCCGGCGCTACGTAAACGGCGTGCATTTTATGGACGAACACGAACAGCCGAACGCACGTGGAAAGGCGCTTGCCTTCGTCGTTTTTTAGAAAATCATCTGAAAAAAATCACGCACGGTATGTTTGCCGTTTTCGTCGAGTTTTCTTATTTATTTACGTGTGTACACATTAAGATTATCGTTATTTAGAAACGAATCAGTATAGTGTTAGTGACAGTATGTAAACAAGAGGCATTTTTACCTACAATAGCATAGATTTGTTTTTAGTTCTCCTTAATTTGACAACGAAGGCATTCTCAAAGAGCATTCTAATTCTAGTCTATATTATAGAGACAGATTAATCGTTCACTAAAGCGTTTGCTATTTGAGAGGCTGTGTTGATTAGGAGAACACTTTGCATATCTGTCCTACTTGAAAAGCAGTCGCTTGTACTGGGCCGAAAATTCTGCGCACCGACTTACTTAAAGGCTTTGCCTGTGGTTTAAGGCTTATTAAGTTAGACCAATATTTGACGTTCAATCAGTGGCCTTTGGGATGGCTTAGTGAATAGCATGTCCATGTACTGCATCTAGGTACATAAGGACCTTGGCTCAAATTATTTGATTAATAGCGTTTGCTTCGCGCTGGGGGCCGGCCGTTTGACGAAGTATTAACACGATTACGAACGTAAATATTTAAAAACGTAACTAACAAACATAATATTTAGCAACAGTACCTAATAGGAAAATACCCAATATGAAATAACTCTCGGCTGAGTCATAATAGATGACAAAGTGGTCTTTTCTATCAAAGATTTATCGTCAGCAATTCTCATTTCTGCTTTATCTTGAAATGGCCGAAATACTGATTCCTGTCAAAGACTCACTCCGATGTATCGCAAAACTCGCTTAGACACCCCAAATAATGAAAGGTAAAGGTTTTAATAGTCTAACTTCGAAAAAAAAAACTTTAAATCGATGTGTAGGAAGCCTGCTAAGAGTCAACCGGTTAGCTGTAAGGCATTGTCGTTTGACATCCTGTAATTTGAACAGTAGTAATACCTCTTATTTGAAGTCAAACGCTATCTACTTTTATATTCTTGTTATCGAAGAAGCAGAGCAAAAACGTCAAAAGCCGCGCGAGACTTTTTCGGCGCTCGAGCCACTCTTCATTTTTTACGCTTATAAATTGAAAACGTTTTGAATACCTATCGGTTTGATGTTATCCGTTTCTATTGCCGACGCCTTCTACTCGAACATTTATAGAAATGTACAGCTTTAATGGAGACTTTGCATATCAACTGGGCGCCGTGTCACATTTACTTTACTGTTTGGTTTGAACGGGGGTGGCGTCTGTTCCACTCATGCAGCTAAAAAAAACTAAGCTCGGAAAATAGATGGAAAGTACCTTGGTTTTTTACCCTTATAGATAAATTAGGCACGCGATTTATCTGTTAGGCAGCGAAAATTCATTTTATGGCTATCTCTTAGAATTAGTCGTCTGCTTCAAGTGGAGACCGATATCACAACTGTACACACATTCTAGTATCGGCTGACATGGATGAACCTCTCACGAGTATTCCATGCATGTTGACACGTGCAGGTGTTGACGTTTAAAACAGATACGTACATACGCACACAATATGTTATACGTGGACGAACGAGTGAAATTGTCTGCCTAAATTTGCGTGCATCTGCGGTTAACACAGAATTACACTTGTTCAATATAGAACTTTGCATGTAGCTACCTTTAACCAAAGGGAAAATGATCCAAGACAACCCTTGCCTTATTCTCACAGATCTTTAAAAACGATAAACCGGCGGGATTAAGCCTACGTTGGTCTGGTGCCATCCGAAATATTGTACACTGTACGACAGAGTCATAGATTGGCGCAAAGAAGATATAAACAGTAATGCACGAAGTCACCAAACGTTTCCGGACAAAGTATTCCGCATTTCATTAACTTTAACACCTTACTGTAGAACGATTGACTGGCTGACAAGTGACGTCACGTAGCATAATTCCTTTAAGAAGTTTCTAAGAACTAGCGTCTTAAGAATATACTAGTTATGTAAGCCGACGCATAAACCCGCATGCGTCTAATATAATACAACTGAAAATGTTTTAGTATGGTGAGACCAAACGTTTTTCACTGAAGTCGAGCCAGTCATACAGAAAAGGTAGACAGCTACATGTTTGCGGTACGCTGCAAGCTGGATTGTACTAGGAGAACCTTAATTTTTAGATGCAACTGCGTAGTTGCAGCTTTTGAGTGAATAACTGTTGAAGAGTACATTTTTCAAGTTGTTTAAATCCTCTCAGATTGACTGGATTCGTCCACTCGAGAAGCGGGTGAACTCGTCTTTTCCGCTCTATAATGGCATTTTCAGATGCACCTTGGGCAACCACGTAGTAAGCTCCTCTACTGACCTATCAAATTTGTTGTACTCAGGAGGACATTGGGGGTTCTTGCCCACCGTGTTTACCACGGTAACCTAAAGCTTGGACAAGTTTTTCTCATAACTGTAGATTCAGACACAATTTCTCAGTGCGTGCCTACGTTTCTTGGCTTGACCTTTCCATTTTTCCTTCAAACTGTTTATTATTATCCATTAAACTGTTTGTTTAGAGAGCGAATGCTTTTTGCAACAAGGCTGTTGTTAGTGAAGCTACCAGATAGATGTCTGACGTGTAAGCCACAATTTTCATTTGAAAATCAATGCTAATACTGATAAGGCTACTTGCTTCTACGGGAGTTTACTCGAAGACGTAACGAACAGCACTAGTAAGCCTTACGGGTGGTTTCTTCGTATCTTCGTTCTTAAGATACGTTAGAGCATAGCCGGTGGAGAGCAAAGTCAAGAAAAATAGGTTAGACACGAGCTGTGTAGTGATGTGAACGTCCATCATTGGAACTCCTTCCATTGATAAACGACGTCGATGCGTACATCAGCCAAGCGGCGTATTAGTGAATCTGAGAGATGAATGTCTGCTCAGTTTTCAGACCCACCACCGCATGGTGAGCGATTTAGTGTACGAGTCAATGGTCAGACGAGAAAAGCGTGCTTTGAGAGAAAAATTTTTCATGATCAAAATATATATATTTTAATCATATTGCAAGGTCTGAAATTTGTTGATATGTATTACATTTACCGTACGAAAGGGATAACGAAAGCTGATGCGCTAACTTCCATGCACACGTTGGAACTATGCATAATGACCCGAAATCATCCCGTGTTTAATTTGACCCGTAATGAAAATAACAGAACTAAAACTAATATCATTACAAGATTAGTGAAAATACTGAAAAACGTTAGTGTGTGACAGCAAGGACCGGTCCCGATTTAGTTGCTAATAAAGTTGAATTGGAAAAGCCGTCGTAATAGGCGGCCATTTTGACGGAACGGGATGTATATATACATATATTCAAGATGGCACACATGTGACTTCTATCATGAAGCCGTCGTCTACAGGAGTAATTAAGAATTGCGAAACGTGACCTTCAACTAGTTAGTCCGGCTATTGAGCTGTAAGCAAGTTCTGTCACGCATCCTTTAGGACCTACTATGATATTTTGTCATCGAGCAATATGCAACTTTAGTTATGTAATTAATAAGTATGAGTTCGAATGTTTTGTGTAAAATCGCGCTAGATTTGTCTGTTTATCAAACTGTGCCTGTTATACATCTCTCGTGTTTAATCAGTGAAACATAGAACTTAGTGGTGTGAAAATTCTCCGAAATTAATAATATAATAATCCGAGCCGAAAATAATAATTTTTCTGCTTGTCATTAACTAAATTACGTTTAGTTTCTCTAAGCAGATAGTGCTAGAAGCTTTGCCTTTTGGGTTGCACCTTTCAGTCGGCCTAAACGATACGGAGAAGAAAATAAATAAATTCTCTATTCTAAATTTTACTACTCTTCTATGGTTTTAGTTGACAGAATAAGAGACATAATTATAACAGACTTCACTGTTTGGACCGGATAAGCATAAGCTAAGTTTATTTATTCGTAGGATTGTATATGCGCTGCATAGAAGCTATTTGAATACTAATTCCATATTAAAGATTGGTTGCTATGGATTTTTTTAATAGGTATGAAATTGGAAAAGTCAATTACCTTGAAGCAGCTTGATGCAATGAAGTTGAGAGATAATATGGTAGAAACAACGGCAGGACTGCGCTTACCTAATAGAAATTAATTTCGTCACAATTAAAAGCATATTAATGGGGACTCTTCTAATTGGACCGGTTACCTTAGACAGGGGTGTGTCTTTAATAAGCTATAACAGCAAGTATTATCAGTGGACCGAAAGGATCTCCTTCTTGATGAGGAGGCACGCCCCTATGTTCCACGAACGCAATCTATGGTCTTAGATCAATCATTAAGCGCTCAAGGCATGTCAAGAATGTTTTTAAATCTTCACAATAGTCCTTGTTTGATAGGTGCATGTGCTCGACAGATGAAGATCGTTGGCACGAAGATCACCTACCAACCGCCGAACTGTGCGTTGATATTTTATCATATTTAACATAAGTTTATCTGTACGCTTGTGATGAAGATGGCGATTTAGTTAATATAAGCATGTACAATGCATAGATGAATAAATATCTTTCGATGTTTTTCTGGTATGGTAAAATTAGATTATAGGAAAATCGGCTATATAGTACATTCCAATTATATGCACGGAAATGGTACGTTTTGACAATATTCTTAATTTAGTCGTGCACTGTTGTATCGTACCTGATCCGGCTAGCAGACTAAAAGCGTAGGCGGTTGCAAATACTACTCGAAGAATCCTGTTCGCAAAAGCCGCTCGACCGTGCGTGACTGCCAGGCCATGAAGAATGGCCGGCTTACGCCAAACCACACTACAGCCTGTAATGATCCAGCACATTTAATCTTCTAAGGGTGAAACAATTAATTGCTGAGTCCCGGCACTATAGGCCTAGCGATCCACACCAGTTTAGTAGTAACGATAGAACCTCTAGTAGAGTCAGCTGTGAACTAAAGATATTTGCGGAAAGAAGGAAAAAATTTCCGATTGTAAAATCCTACGAGATTGAAATGCTTCAGCGCGAACTACAGACACGTTCAAAGCAACTGGCCCACTAGCTATACGCACGCGCCTTGCTTAAAGAAGTCTGAAGACTGAGGTGTAGCACGAAAAACTGCTCAGCTTTTAGCTCAGCCCTCTGTTCTTCCTATCGGACTCTTCCGCTTATTCTTGGTGGGTCATGGTGGTGGTGGAAATACTCTCCATGACAAATCTATTCTTCGCTTTCGATCCGCCTCCTTCTTAGCGGCTTTGACGCTGAGTGTTACAGCAGTGACAGCGGTGGAAATTCGGCAGGCGACAAGTAAGGTCCAGAGAGAGCCCAGGTAGGTAACGCCGCCCGACACGACTCACAGACAGCCTCTCCAGGTGGATCGACGCTGATTTCTATTCTCTGGCTTGTCCTTTCTCTTCTGAGGACACTCGTATGCAAGGAGAAAGGGGGCTCTTGGTTTTATTGTTTGCCTCTATCTCAATCGCTCTTACTGCGTCTCATAGAAGCTCTTCTTGACCCTTCATAGAACAAGCCCCGTGTCACGCTTGCGTCTGCGTCTGCTCGCTGGGTCCCTTTGCCCTATTTGTTCCAGCCCATTTTGTTCGCTTTCATCCTCTATGATTGGTACCCAATGTCTCAGTGCATCGTCCGGCCACTGTCCAGTCAAACATTGTACAGGCATACAATTCATTTTATTGTCACTATAATTGCCATTGTCGAAGCATCGTAATATCCCACAGTCGCAATACCAGTATCACGACTAGCATCAGAAGGGCTCCAATGAATGTCTTCCCTATTGCCTGCTTTGCATATTACCTACGGCATTGCGTATTGTTCTCTATCGTCTCTTCTGCGGTACGACGATCGAAGCGAGGAGAGCTAAAGACCGTCGTTAATGGCGACAGAGGCCACAGCGTCTCGTTGAAAGCGAAACGAGAGAGGCGGTTTCAACATATCTGAGTTTCGCGGCCACGCAGCCCGAATTTCTGGGCAGATTCCCTGACGCGAAACCTTGCTTGCCTAACTCTTGGGTGATAGCTTGCTGGCTACAGTCAAAATCTCGGCTCCTTGTTATCGAAGGCAGGCACGCGAAGATACCGGCTGTTGAGTGGTGGTAGGGGACAAGTCGTCTGTGGTTGGCTGGTTAGAAGAGCGTTAACTCTCCTCAGTAGCCATGACCCCGCCGCCATCCGTGTTTCACTACTATAACTAGCATGCTGCCGTCAGTTTCGATGGAGGTGCATTCTTCGGGGCACCGACCAACGCATTCGATTATCATTACATGGGCTTATTCGTGTTCTTTGCTTCACTGTTTTGTGTTTCCTCCCCTTCTTTTTCCCACTGCTTGCTTTTCCGCGAGCCTCTCCAGCTCCAGCCGGCGTCGAGGATGACGTTTTGTCCTATTCTGTTGCTCGATACATCGATGGCATTGTATACTTGCCCTTGGCGCAAGCCTATGCCGGTACCTGTCCCGCTAGCTACCGTGTCAGAATCCACGTTGCATTCAATCTTTCACTTCTTCCTTCCTTCAGATACGCTCTTGGCAGCGGCTGCCAGTCGTCTCAACGCCAGTGATGGGGCAATCACGGGTGCAAGTCAACAGCGCACGAGGCCGGCGGCACACGAGAAGGACGTTGCATACCGGTTTCTTCTGTTGCTTCGACTAGCACAAGGCGCTTTGTTGGAAATGAAAGCTGTGGCTGGTTCTGGTAAGCTGGTGTTTTCGCGAGCGTGGACCGTGAGGAGTACCGAACATGTCAGGCCGGGCTGCGAGGACTTACATCCCCTTGCCTGTTTTCCGTCTCTTTTTCGTTCCTCCGCTGTCACTTTCTGGGTGACAGGACAACCGGGTGCCTGCAAATCCCCTCGCGTCTACACTGCTGCTGCCTTGCCGTTGCTTCTCTCGACACGCTATTAACCCGTGGCCCTCTGACGACACCGATGTAATTTTGCGGGCTTCGTGCGTTCTGCGCAATGGGTATTAGTACCTTAAATAGAAAATACGGGCCTTACATTTAGTGCAGCCGTTATATATGTGCAAGCGGAAGCTTAGCAGTTCTAAACGAATGAGCATATGATAAGATTTTGTTTGAGACATGTACGATTGTTTGTTACGAAATACGGGTCATTAGTTAAACCTTCTGACACAGTTCCAATAGGTTATGAACGCTATTTCTCCTTGCTTCGCAATGCGTGAACGAACAACGTAAAGATCTCACCGCGTGACTACTTCACTTTGGGATCTGTACATGTCTCGCGTTCTCTTGTACGTTATGCGCTTTTGTCCCTCGCAGTGCTCAGTGTGCTGGTGGGCTACCTTGTCTACCAGCGCAGATGCTATTCGTTCCTCTCTCGTGTCGTTTGGCTTCGATTGCACTAGCTTCAGTAGTAGAGTTAGTAACGTTATCTTGTATAGCTGACTTGGTTTTTGCTCTTACCGTTTCTTCCTTCCCCATGCCTCTCTCTATCCCCTTTTTCTTTTTCCCTGATTCGCTGGTCCAGTTGTCCGTGGGACTTCGTGAGGTTCAGCTTCTTCTGCAAAATCTTTGTGGACTTCTATCTCTTAGTGTAGCGCCCTATTGAAGCATGTAGGGGGTAGGGGGCCGGTGACTATGGCAACGACGACAACAAAGTCGACGAGGGAATGAGCCATCAACAAACACGAAGAGAAATCTTTTGGGGGTATCGAATTGTAGTGGGCTTTTCATCAGCTGGCTAGAGTCGTTCTGCATGCTGTTTCTAGAGCCAGTAGCTAGCCTTAGCTGGAGGCTAAAGATACCTCCTGCGATCGATGAGCCAAATAGAGCCGCCTGATTCCATACTTTTGCCAATTCATTCTTCTAGTGCTCCGTGGAACGCACCACAGCCTTGCAGTACTTTAGACCTTCTGCCTCTCCTGTCCAACACTATCTTTTTTGCGGAGCTAATGGACTACTGCGGTAAGAACCAGTGCCAGCACTAGTCAGAGATACTGGCAGCAGAAACTATTCCGAATCTCTACATAGACCTCACTATTACGAGTATCTCTATAGTACAGCACAACTAACTTGGCTGGAGCACTTACAACCCAACTACCTAACCTCTCGCTAGCCAATGTGACGGCTGTAGGTGCCATCTACGCTGCCCGAGGCAAGATCACAGCTATAGGACGGCTAGACACGCGCATTCGCGAACATACATATGTGCACCTTAGAAAAGAAAGAGCCGTCTATATCAGGAGTAACGGCACCACCAGAATAGTCGCCATCCTTGATGCCATTCTAAACCTTCTGATTTCATTGTTGGCAGCTAACTGGAAGCGCGCGGATGAGATGGACGGCTGTAAACAAGGCTGCTGGCGGACTGCTAAGAGCGCAGTAGCAGCAAAAGTAAGGTCTATTGTAGTGGCAAGAAGCCAGAAACGAGGCACCACAACACAGATGTGATACCGACCAGTCTGACTAACGGAATTAGTGTGCTTTTAAGGATCTAGATATCACCGGTACGACGAGTACATTTTTTATTAGTTGTGCCTGTAGATATAGCAGCTATGAACCGGCAAAAATAACACTGATAAGCGGAAACGTAAAACAAATTAGAAGGATTAGAGCAAGACGTCTTTGTGATGAATTTTAGCAATGGGAGCCAAGTCTACTGTGGAGTTTTTCCAACGAGACAACTTAGTTTAACAAAAAAATTGCGCATATAGCTGAATGGAAACAATATCTGAGACTATAAGTTAGTGTGCGTACGAAACATTAACTTAATATTGTAAAAATAAAGCATGCAAAAGATTAGCTGATCTAGAGCTTGAATACACATTATGTATTGAAATGAAAAAAATGCTCATATTCGTAGCGCCCGTCTGCTGATCGAAAAAAAGATAAGTAGGCCATAATTATTCTTTAATATATAAAATATAAAATTGTAAGTTAATATAAAATTGTATTAAAAAGACACGTTCTTCAAGCAGATATATGGTACATTAGTTTTTGTAATGACAACCTGGAAAGAGGGTCCTTATATAGACAACAGTTGCCCTGAAACAACAGCCTTAATGAGTAAAAAATATATAATATCCACAGGTAACAGCAAAAACTCTGCTTCTATATGCCTGTACTCAGGCAAGTGAAAACGTAAGTAACATTGAATGTAAAACGCCGTTTGGAGAATAAAAGGTTCCCAACCGATACGTGAAAGGTAAAGGGTTGACCCACATCGAGCAAGTTCACAACTAGAGTCATTAGTGGGTTACTGTTTTTCACCCAAGCGTAAATATAAAGATCGATACATATTCCTTTGTTGTAAAGTTTGAAGTGTGACAAGCAAATTTCTATACGCCAATATTTAAATAAGTATTGCATAGGATATTTTTATCAGTTTGCATATTTATGGGTTACAATTGCTCATTATTTACTTCCCTATAGAAAGTAAAACAGCGTAACCTCGACTACCGGCAATTTACTATAGACAGTATAAAAAGGGCGGAAAAAGACCGATAGAATGCTGGAAGTCTGATATTGGCTTGTTTTTGTGCAAGTAAAAATGGCCTCAAAATCATCCGAAACAAATAAACGTAACACTTCTTATGAGACTTTCAAGTCATCACCGCAGCCCAAATTCTTCAGAGAGTTAAACTTTTTTAGAGCATTGATCTGTTAGCTTTTACTCTGTGCTACCGTACAGAGCATGAAGCTTCCAAAGACCATCGGTCTGACCGTACGTTGAACTTCACTGGATAATCACTCGGCCTTGTCCAATACGGGCATATTTTCCACCACTCCTTCTGCCATCCTTTTCTTTGCACTTTATTATATTGTTGAAACGGCTAAAAGTCATCATCGTACGAACGGTCAACATTTGACTAGCAGCAACGAACGCGGGCTGGGCCTGCCAAGGCTGCGTACTGTGCCGGGGGCGTCGGGCTATGGTTGGGGCAGTTAGGCCAAGCTACGTACCTAGAAGAAAACCGCTGAGAGAGTTCCGAATAGCGTTTCTATGCTGCCCCGTAAATGTCGTCGCACATTGTCTACCACTACCGAGTTCGCTGTTTACAATGACGGCACTACTGATTGCGTTGAAGGCGGGTTGCTGGCCATACAGATGGAAGAAGCTTTCTGTAGGCTTTCAGTGAGCCCACTTTGCCAGGCGTGTTACCTTTTAGCGGTCTGCCCCACCTGTCCTTGCCGTTAACGCAGCATTGTTGTAGAGGAACTTGTGCTTCGCTCCGCGCAGCTGGCAGATCTAAGGGACCATGCGCACTACCAAAGCTGAGTTTGCGGCCATAGGGCTTTACGACAAACCAACGTGGGTATACCATATCGTACGTAGGCCTGAGATGTTTGCGAACCAGTTGGAGGGCGAAAACGGACTGTTCCCTACGAAAACACCCAACGGACGCTCGGCGGTGCTTCGACCAATCAAAAGCAGTAGTTGAGGGTGACGGCCCATAATAGCGGAAGCCGTTGTGGTTGGCTGTTAGGTGGAACATCCCTTTCGCTATCCGATCATCTGTGTGAGCATCCACACAGCGAATCCCCTGGCTGACCAAGCAGAGAAGATGAAACGACTGACGGAATGGACGCTTCATGCCGTCAGACGTCGCTTCGTAATGAAAATATATACTACTACCGGCAAACAGGTTGGTAGGATAAGGTTCGGGGTAACGCCACGCTACGAGGAACGAGCTGAAGGTTAGTGGTCTGTAGGAGAAGCAAGGCTACAAACGTTCATAGAGATGCCTGCAGGACGCCAAAAGAGGCTCATGCATGCTGATTACGGGAAGGCTTGATGCCCTCAACGAGAAACACACAGAAAAGACGGAGAGCCTTTCAGCTTGATTTTGACTGAATCATTACCGCCCCATTTTCGAGCGCGTGCACAATGCATTCGGGCAGACCAGGCAACAGAAGGAGGGGCTCGAGGCCAGCGAAAAGCTGCTCGAATGATGAGCTCACGTTGAGTGATGATCGCCCTTAAAAGAGCCTCTAAGAGCATCTTGCGCTGGCCGAAACGAGAAGCAAAATGCGTTGTACCTTTCAGGCTTAAGTCATGTTGTAAGTGAAGGTATCTACTTCAGCTGGATCCCACCAGCTAACCTCTCATGTTACTTTTTTCATGTAAGCACAAATAAGGCTGAGCAAAACAGATAACGCATTTATCTATTTGTATATGTAATATCGTTGCTTTATATACCAAATAACTATAACGAATGACGGTTGCCACCGTGTGGTAACATCGACTCGCTGCCAACCCTGTAAAAGTAGTCGTGACATATATGCTCGAAAAAAATATTCGAATCTATTACGGCCGAATGGAGGTCTATTTGCGGATAAACGTTCGTCTAGTCGATCTATCGATCCTTGGGTAGATTTTATCATGTCTGCTTCATAGTGGTTACTGTATAGATGTTTTGGATAGCAACTAAGACGAACGTAAGACTACCTAAAAGCATAACATTTAGGATCGTGATGGGACGGTACGCGCCAATAATAACCTTCCACATGTAGGATGAATTAGATTAACTTAGTTTGGATTGGAACTTGCTAATCAACCACGACCATACAAAACCATTTTTAAGTGTCATTTGATGAAAAGTGTCAAAATATTTAATTGTTATGTGAAATTTTGGGCATTTTCGGAACTCGGAAACATAAACAACATTCTCTCTGTTTACACATAATTTGTCCTCGTTCAGTGGACTTACATCTGTTGTTAGCAAACAGCTAAATATATGTCTGTTGTAAGATAAAACAACTTTCTATACGATGAAGAGCTACGATTATGCGTCTATTTCTTATTACAGAAGAAGATGCGAGATCTTCGAGAAAATGAACGAGCTGTTTTCAGCATGGCGTTTGCTTGTATTCGCGAGAATCGCGCAAAGGGATATCTCCACAAGACGGCATTTTTTGAGCGGATTCTGGCCCTGTTAATGGCCGTTACGTCACATTTACATTAACGTATTATGTTTCCATAGTTATTAGGAAATACGCGACGACCACTGGATGGTAATGTAATGTAAAGGCGTGCTCTCTCTTCTTCGTGGACACTTTGTAACCCGTAGCTAGCAACGATAACGAATCACTAAATATTCAAATATTGAAACTATCTGCGTTTAGCGAGTTGTCTAACCTAGATGAACGCAATACTATCTTCACATAGGCTTGACGGCTGGTCCTGGATCTTCAGTTCTTCGGACAAGAAGCATAGACGCAAATAATGAATCCTATCGGATGTTCTAATTAAAATGTTCTATCTATCGCATTAACAACTATTGCTCTTTCGTCACAGTGCAACTATGGCTAAAATTCGAAAAATAAAAAAAACTAACTTAGAACTAGATAAGTATGGCAAAAGCTTCACCTCAATTTAGTAAATTTTATCGTTTATTAACGACCAAATTTGAAGTGTAATAGCAGATGTTGGCTATTTTATAATATGCGGCCATACCTCTATGGGTTTATTTATACGAGCTCAATCGTCAACTATACGTATACAATATGTATGGCTATGCGTGTTATTATGATAAGTCGATTACGTCTGCCTTCCATCCCCTTATTATTTGCCTAATTTCTTAGAACCTTATTCCAGATTATTTCATATTAATCAGCTCGTACAGGTAACCTATGGTATAATACAATACAGGTTTCACCTCAGAGACCCATTGCAAATTGCTACTATAGACTCTAGCAGTAAACGCCTAAACTTTTCTTATATGAACGGCAGAATCAAAGCTTAGCATGGCAGCTATATCAAGATCATAGAAAGATCCCACTAGAGAGACGCAGGCACTATTCAGTATGTACACCAGAGTAGTGGCGAAAAAAAAAGATACGCGTCTAAACTAGAAGACCGTCATCAATATATCGTTTTATCAATAGTATTTCTAAATATTATTACCTCTTTTTTGCAGCTTGTTCACAATATGTTCGTTTGCAATCTTTCGACAAGCAGATTATACAGCATATGATCAGCTACAGCTCCTTTTTGTACAAACACAAATATTTTGCCGAACGCGGGATACGAAGGTACAACACTAGTAGGACTAGTAGTAATGGATGAGTACCAAGAATGTCAACGATCGAATTTATACAGGCGCGGAAAATCCGATTTTAAAAATCGCGCTCTATTCACTGCATGGCATTGTTGTCGGTATTTCCACAATAACAATAATAACTGCTTACGATTGATTCTGATGTCGGATGCGCATGCGCACGCAAAATGTACACAGCAATACGCTACTTGAAGATGGACTCCACTAGTAAAATACTGTGACTAACTAATTGGCTGTATAACGTTCTTTCAAAAAATCATTTTCATTATTGTTGTTCAAAAAAAAAACGGGTTTACAGACCATGCTCGTTTTCTCGACTGCGCCCCATTGGATGACCCGAAAGATGATCAATAATAGCCTTTCAACTGGTAAACATACAGTGCTTTCCTAAGGTAGTAGCCCACAATGTTCAAGCGTCTACAAGCGTAAGAGAGCCATTTCAAACAGAGTCTAAATAAATGGGGCTTTTTGAACGCTCGTTCGAAGAGAAGCTATTGTAATTTTACCGGAAACCGCCATGTTTGTTTATAAAAGACAGACGCTATTTCACCGATGTCGAAACGGTTTTCCACTAAAAACACTAATGATTACCTTGTCCGCATGCTTGAAACGTTTGTTAATGCAACTTTTTGCCGTTTGTTAATGGCAAGCGTACTCTGGCAGCAGCACGCAGGTAGTTGATTGACGGACGGTTTAACATCAAACAACGAATTGTTACCTTCCAAATTTATTAAAAACTATATATTTTTAAGGTATGCAGTCAGAACTACGTATCGGATGCAATAAGCGCTGGGCGCATCAATAGTACCCAACTTAACTAACTGATTTCAAGTAACTACTCTAACTTGGATTGCAGAATATTAAATCAAGAGCCGTATGACGAGCTGCCGATCACTCACAGTCAACATTGTTCATAATCGACTTGAAATGCATCATTAGATGATTTAGTATAGTGTGCCGATGTTTACATTGACCTTTTAAATCTATTGTTGAACATTACCTTAAACGGAATGTCCTAAAAAAGGTCTGCGTTACCCAACGATGACCCCTTGAAACTAAAGAGTGGATGATTTTGGTAAAATAAAATTTTCATTTCGCTCGCCACCTTTTTCCCGTGTCACCCCTACAACCTTGACTTGCTGAGCGGACATGTGCCATTAGGAACTCGCATGTTTACTGAAACCTCGTTCTAGGAAAAGCCCCAAAAAATCTTGCAGCTGATGAGCAAGTCTGTGTGCGGAAAACTCGTAAGAAGACATTCTCCCTAGAAAAAAAGGTCATCTCACTTCCTAAGTAATTGTAAATGTTATTTGATCTATAGGGTTAAAGCGACGATCTCTTATTTGGTGGAACATTAATTAGTACAAACATAGAATTTCTCTTTTATATTATAAATTTTGGGGTTTCTTTAACAATTGACACATCTATCAGATCTGTTAACAGGCTAGGGCATTGAGCAAACAATACGTTTAACTGCATTCTCGGTAAGTTATTCTTAATTCGTTCAAAAATAGCTTATCGAATGGTATCTAGACCTATGTTAATCTAGGTTAATAATATCCAAGAAGTAGTCTCATAGCCTATCAGACCAAAGATTTAACAATATTCTTATTTTGCTAAAATAAATAGCCATATTAGATTAGTAAAATTAACAACAGCCCATTTAACGAAAAACCTTGTCACTTGTAATATATATATATATATATAGGGTATCTAGTGTTTTTCGATACTTCGTTTATAATGTGCGCTTACATTATTGTTGACTATTTTCGTAATGTTGTGAATGTGGCAGCCGTGTTGGATGGTTCGTAGAAGCGAAATGGTCCTGGCCTATTGGGTTACGGTAACGGGTCCGGATGCTCTGGTCCTAGCATCTTCGAAATTAGGTAAGTAGCTCCAGCGGGTGTTAGGAGTATAAAGCGATAGACGTTGAGACCAACAAACTTGACACTGCTACAGTGCGTGAAAGTAGGATTTTTGGCCTGCTACGTTGTAATCTACGCTCATCGTTGAAAGCAATCCAGTCCTCGAAAGGCAGCTCGTGTTCCGAATGTGACCCATTTTTCTGTCTACTGAACGCGATCAAGGTGTACTAACAGCACAAATTATTTTTATCTACCCACCTGTGATGATAGTTGACATCTTATGGCGCTAAATAGTTCTGGAAGGTAGCCTGCGAACCCCAAAGAGCGATAGGCTTTAGGCACTGCTAAAGACAAATAGTCTGACGGTTTAATAAGAGCTGCGCTACAGGCTATTTTGACCGTTGGATTCTTTTTAAGAGACAGTTAGAGTTATGAAACCTGTCTGAAAATGTGGGAAATAAATTGTAAAAGATAATGTGAGGTAATATAAAGTGAAAGTTAGGTTTCAAACAGGTAATAAAGCATGAATGACTGTCGAAATTGCGTTCAAACATCGGCCACATACAGTAGCTCTAAGGCATGGGGTCCACTAATACTAGAGCATACGCGCAATTCACCTATTGGGTTTACTTGTGTGTAAGCGCGATGAATTTGCAATGATAGAAAATAAGTTGTTGAACGGAAAAAGTTCAAGGAAATCTGGGGTAAAAATTTATTGGTAAGTAAGTTATGGGTAAGTAAGGTCTGATCGACGTTAATCTAAGTGAAAAAAATCATTTTTTTGTATAATTGAACAACTAAAGCATTGAAATGGCTTCGCAAGCATACTAGATTTATTTACAGTACAGAATATATAAGCATTGATATACAGGTATAATCCGATCATTATTCAAGCATTAGTGCGATATATATATATATATGGCGTGTAGTTTGATACACTGAACTGTATGAATGAACATCGTACAAGAAATGGCTCTATTGTAAGTGATTTTGTATGGTGGAATAATGCAGGCACAGTAAGGATATCCACTCCGTTTGGCGACATTAAATTAAGGGTGCTTATATCTCCTACGGATGATTTCGCTATAGAGGTGTTTGTCGAGCTAATATAATAGCGTATGTACTTTTTCAAATAAGACTGGGAAATATTATCACATGTTCTCCTTTACTGTGTGTACTGAGCCCCCGCATATACGTCGAGTTGCCCCGAAACAGCTCCACATTCCGCTTTGAAATCGTCCCACTCTATGGTCAGCGATGCCGCGCAACGGAACTTCATGGTAGCGCCAACGAGGATAGCGCTACCCCCAGTTTATATCACTTCGTTTCACTTTCTTCTCAACTGGACCTAGACACGCCTTTACGTAAATGGCACATGCTTCCCGCTAGTGTGGCGCTTTCAACGCTGTGTCGCTACTCGAGATACGATCATTACCCCCGTCTTATATGCAATTACGTGCGTGCGTCGAACCGACGTAGTGATAATACATGTTTAAGTGTGCATTTTTGTGTAGAGCATGGGAGGCCCTGTGGAAAAGCAAAACTGTCCTAAATTCTTAGCGAAGTGTCACTTGAATGTTGTCACTGCAACAGCCAGCATACGGAAGCCGAGGTGCGTAAGGCTAATGTGGAAGTGAAGAATACGACAGATGTTTCCCAATTTTAGTTTTTCGTTGAATACTCCAGATGGCAGCTTTCCATGGCTTGCGAAGACTACGTGGCCAAACTAATATCCCTACACAAGCGGACTTTAGATCGCCTGCGCGGATGCTTGATTAAGGAAACGAATGTTCGTATTGAACATATTTTCTTAACAACAGGCCGACTGGATCATTTAACACACAGTCCTAGGATTTTTTTTATTTATATCACAATGCACTGGCCTTTGAACAGAAACTGCAGATTTTTTTATTATCTGAAACAGGATATGAAGGTGAAATGTATAGACTTCTGTTTCCGGTATGCCTGTAACGCGGTCCCTTCTTGTGCTGGCTCACTTTTGGTTCTTATCATCGTCGTATGTTTAATTTTCAGGCTGCAAGTAGGCAAACATACGCCACAACACGAGCAAGATGCGACCTTTACCGATCAAGTAGAACTTTGTTATCCAACAAAGCCTTAATATTCGATTTGTATTCTATTTATGTGCATATCGCTCAGTTTGTCAATTGAATACGCCCATCATACACAGAATCATGTTCTACATAGAATATGTGAGTGTCTAACTGTATTTATCACGTATTGCATCCTGTGGCGCTGAATGTGGGAGACTGTTTGTTTGCCTACGTCTGTGTTTCTGTACACTACAGTGAAACCGTTCGCGTATTCTTGCCTGGCCTTAACTACCCTATCGTCAGCCCCTTCTTCGAAACCCCTTCGTTAAAGCTCAAGACACTGAGGATAGGGCGGTACCGTCCAGTCCCTGTCGTATTTGCCACTCTCGTTGCTTGCTAGGGAGCAGGTAGGTATTAGGGCCATTAACATGCCCGATCCAAGTTAATCTTGAGTTCCTCGCTAGTGCGCTTTATCTGAATTGCTCAGACGATTAAACGGTTTAGACTTCAGCGTGAGGTTGTAATTTGTATGTCACCAATTGCGTGACAATACCTAATGGAAGGGTGCATAAGGTAGAGAGAAATAAGAGACAGAAAAATGCTGTAGCAGTAGCTGCAAGGATCAAAGGTCACCGATGATCGTTGCGTACGCGGAGTCGGTGTTGTTGGTAGTTGTCTCCTTTGAACGACCCACTTACAGGAAAGGCCCATCGGAGCGTTGCGTTCGCTATACTCTTCGAACAGATGCGCACAAACACAAAGCAGAACACTGAGATACAAAGCCGTTTTCTCTTTGCATTTTGCTTTTTTGTTGTTGGCGCTCTCGGTAGGGCATTCGTCCTCGCCCCAGCGGCAACGCCTTCACCGCCCATAACTTCTTCTTTCCACGGTTCCTCTCTTGTCTAACTCCAGTTCAACTAAAAATAGCTAGCCAGCACACAGAACGTTCGGCCAGCCTTTAACGCCATTTTTCGATACAAACTTTCTTTGAATTGAACGCTTTGTAAACCCTAGCTTTTCGACCAGTTG